CATCCTGTTTAAGACCACATCGTTGCTCACACGCTCGGTCCATGATATCCTTAGCATCCTTCTGTAGAACTATACCTCCACCGTCTAGATTTTCTTCTTCATCTTTGAAGAGACCGTCCAACATTCGCTGCAATAATAAAAAAAAGGACAGATATCACATAACAGGCCAGTCCCCTTTTCTTTGTTACCAAAGAAATCCTCCTGTATCGTAATTATCTTTCTAGCTTTTGGAATGCGTCTGAGGCCATCCCAGTGCGTCATCGAATCTCAGCATCGCACTTGCGGTTCTCTGGTTACGGGATTGAAGTCTGCGCTTGATCCCGCCAGTTTTCTTGCTGCTGTGTAAACGTGGCCGCTCCACATGCAGTGTGCACCAAAGTGGAACAAAAAGCAATGATCGGATGTCATTAGTCGGAAGATGTGTCAGATGCTGAAATATCATCGGAGCCATTTAACAGCGACAGTACACTATTGCGTGTAGTAAGTAGGAGTTTTTCGAGAATTTTTAAAATGGCTGGACAAGCATGACGTATGAAGAGGGATCAGGAATCTCATCAACCTCCACCCAGTGATGTGAAGATTAAGTAAGCTCGAGAAAGGGTGATGGTGAACTGGTGAGTTATCGTCGATGAGATAGTATGTGTTCTCTGTCGATTAGGATTTACTTGCCCTCGCCGTAATACAAGAACATCTGTTTGAAATCAATGCTTAGACTCTTGTGTACATTGGTCTTCTCTGTCTACTGGTCGGTCTGTCTGTCTGTCTGTCTGTCTGTCTGTCTCTCTCTCTCTCTCTCTCTCTCTCTGCCTCACTCTCTGTTTGTCTGTGTCTGTCTCTCTGTCTGTCTTTCTCTCTGTCTATCTCTCTTTGTCTCTGTCTGTCTATCTGTCTGCCTCTCTCTCTCTCCCTCTCTCTCTGTTTGTCCCTGTGTCTCTCTCTCTGTCTGTCTTTCTCTTTGTCTCTGTCTATCTCTCTCTGTCTCTGTCTGTCTGTCTGTCTGTCTGCCTCTCTCTCCCTCTCTCTCTTTCTCTGTCTCACTCTCTGTCTTTGTGTCTCTGTCTTTGTCTCTCTCTGTCTTTCTCTCTCTGTCTCTCTCTGTCTCTGTGTCTGTCTGTCTCTGTCTCTGTCTCTCTCTCTTTGTCTCTGTCTCTCTCTCTCTCTCTCTTTTTGTCTCTCTCTCTTTTTGTCTCTCTCTCTCTCTCTCTCTCTCTCTCTCTCTCTCCCCCTTGTATGAGCCAGGTCCTTTACCTTTGAACTCTTGAAAACTGAATTGTATCTTTCACCTCCTGTATTATTATATTTTTCTTTTATATAAAGATGTATTTGCTATTTTTCGTTTGCTCGTTACACAAGACCAATACACAACAAAACGAATATCGCCATATATGGTGGGTACGGACGGTGAGATATTATAACCTTCCACCCATCCTCCATATATACACTAAGACCAATAATAATACTAAGATCAATCATAAAAGTACCTGTCTATAGATTAACCCATGAAATTAGGCTCATTACACACGTAAGTGAATGGGAATAAAAAAAAACTATAGGGCACATAATGAGAAAAGAGGGCTTAGAGAATCTGACACTCGCAGGAAATATAGAAAGGAAGTCTGACAGAGGGAAACACCTTTTGGATTCCGAATAATCACCTAAAAATGTTGGTTTCCTTTTCCAAAATTAATTCACTAGTTGAAAGGGGTCTAATAATAATAATCTTACTTATTATAAAACGCAGATTGTGTGTGTGTGTGTGTCTGTACGGTTATATATTGGATCGGATTTCCTACATTTTTCAACCGATTTCAACAAAAATTCACAGGACTACATAAAATTACCTTGTGGTGGTTCTAACAGCGCCAAAAATGTGAAAAACACAATTGTTTTTGCACGAAATCAATTTGAAAACACGATAAAACACGATTCTGTCGCCAGAACGAAAGGGGGACAACTCATATCGAGTTATACTTATAAAACCCAGCTTTGTGTGTGTGTGTGTGTGTGTGTGTGTGTGTGTGTGTGTGTGTGTGTGTGTGTGTGTTCGTTTATATATGGAATCGGATTTTCACATTTTTCAACCGATTTCAACAAAACTTCACTTTTTTGGCAGGTAGTGTTTCTTATTGTCTTGCACACTTTTTTCTTTATTTTTACATTCAGAATACTTTAAAAATTCCATTTGCAAGACAATTGTTTATAATAAAATTCTATTCAATCGATAGACTCATAACGATTGAAAACAATGTTTTTGTTTGAGTTTGACAAATTGTAAAAAAAAAACAAAAAAAAAAGACTAATTAAGACATGCGTGTCCGTCAACCTTAAACAATAATCTTTGTCAATTTTATTTTTCAGTCTTTATGATGGTCGATACTTGATCTATCTCTTACTGTTACATCCCCGGGCAACGCCGGGCTCTACTGCTAGTAATAATAATAATAATAATAATAATAATAAGAGGTAAGAAAGAAAGAAAGAAAGAAAGAAAGAAATTATGAAAAAAATATACATAGGTACGTCTTAGAGAAAGCGGCAAAATACATCTTATCTTCCTATAAACTTTTTTTTTAATAGATGGCTACGCATTCATTGCAGAGATGCATTTATCAAATTAGAAACGTTTCTTTGAAAAAATGGTAGCTGGGAGAATTGATTTTAATTGAAATCAGAATCGGATCCATTTTGATTCCTTTGCGTCTCCGTTGACACAAATAACCAGTGACAGATCTGCCATCTTTGATAATGGAAACAGTTTCAAAATGTCGTCGTCAAATTTCGCGGAAATTTCACGTGTTTTCCTTCTTTACCTTCTGTTCTATCTATTCCGAAATTTATATTTCATCATTTTTTTCTTTTTCTTTTTTTTTTTTTTTTTTGTATAGATTCCCGCCAGAACTGGTGCTAAGTGGCAGCAATTCTCGCGGGAACTGTAGCGTTTTCACGACTAATTGCAACTTACCACAACAGTACCAATTCCCGTGTCATCTCAATTCTCCATTGAAATATTTCAGTCTCCCTGCAATAGATTCTGAAACTGTTCAGAGGATTTCAATGATTATCTTCTCTTGATTTTTATCAGCTTTCTAGCAAGATCATGACGTTTCTATATTAGTCATATATAATTTCAGTTTTTTTTTTTTGCTTTTTTTTTTTTTGAGGGGACCAGTTTACATAACTACGACAACGGCTAACTTTTCATTAAATAATTCATAACAGTTGATGAAAGGTGGGGTGCAGACAACAATGTTCATCGCAAAAATCGCCTGACAAAGATAAATCTCCTCAAATAAACTCAAAAGCTGCGCTACATGGCAGGACGGTAACGATGTGCATGTAGTCGAATTCTCATAGTATTATTGATTTCGAATTTTAAAATGCAATGAAAAACTAAATGCACATTTATACGTCCAGCATCTGTAACGTGTCCATAAAAATTTGCTCGAAAAGCGCCCTGCATTTATCAAAAGGAAAATGTTTTCCTTCTCTATAACAAGAAAAATACAGCAAAAATAACAGGGGAAAAATCGTACACGGTTAATCTGTTCTACCCTAGATGCCATATTCCCTTAAATTTCCATCAACCAACTTTTTCGATAGCTACAAAACTTTTTGATGAGTTACTTAATAAACACCAAGATTTCGTCAGAGACTTTTTCGCATAAAAGATGCGAAATTTTGCTCAAAGGTTCATTCATTGCAAATAACGTTGGATATGTAAATAGTGAATTAAATATAACTGTGTTTTATTTCTTGACGAATAGATTTGATCGTGAAAACTGGAAATTCTTTGGGAATAAACCTAAAATTTTCACATTTTTTCCTTTTTAATATATATCCAACCAGAAAAACTATTCGCATTATTGATGACAATTCGCATTGTAAGAACTATATCAAATCTTTAAACGCAAACGTTTGGCATCAAACAATTTGGCAAAAAGAAATTAAAACGCAAAATAATTATCTTCACAAAACTTGACATTAGTCTACTATACAAAGTAAAATTTATTTACATTATTTACACGTTCATTATCATCATCTTTATTGCCATATTCATAACGTTTCGGCCTTCTTCAAGTGATATTTCTTTGAATTTCGAAAAGAATCCTTTATTTAGTCCACGGAGGTAGATTGTTCTAATTCCACGTGTCATGCCTTTGAATATCTTAGTTTTAGTTAATTCTCCTTAATAACTCAAGAACACATGGCACAGTGGATAAAGGCGTTAGTTAGATCCAGTGACAGGAGTGTGAGTGTGAGTTCAATTACCGGTTAAGGCAGTGGAGAATTTGGAGAATTAACAGGAGATAACTGAGATCTATTAAACATGGCACGTGGAAATAGAATAGTCTACCCCAATGAGCAAAGTAAAGGGTTCATTTCGACATTCCAACTCCCTGAAGAATGCCGGATCGTACAACGGCCGAAACGTTGTGATAAAATAGGCAATAGTCCAAATAATGTAAATAGTGTATATAATACTTCATCTCAGATACTAATTTAACTTTGTTTTTGTCCCCTCTGTTGCGGCCAGGTATTGAACTCACAACTCTTTGTGTCAAGCCACTTTTGGGTCGGTCAACCAACGCTTTTATCCACTAGGATATGTGACTTTGGTGAAGAAATATAGATATCATTATTAACAGACGACTCAACAAACTCTAAATAATGCTACACTGCTCAAAGGCGCGAGTGTTTGATTATTTTCCACTGTAAAATCCCTTTCCTATACAAGAATCATTACTAGTCATTCTTTGTTCTGTCGCTATTTCAGGTGTTCAGACGAACTAGATTCCTTAGTTCCACCAGTTCAGACCTTCAGAGTTATGACTCGCCATACCAGGTATTCATCCCTTTATATTCCATTAGTAAGCAAGAGGTTCGATTCAGATAACTTCCTTTGTAGAAATATTACGTTTATGAACCGACTCCCCAGAGGTTGATTACTTGATAGCTACAATGTTAACCTATTGAAATTTAGTTAAAATCGTTAACTACCTTACGGTCACTTCACGTTGAAACAACGATTTCCGTACGATCACTGACGTTAAGCAATGCCGAACTTGGTCAGTACGAAGATGAGTAACCATTTGGGAATATCGGGTGCTGTAAGCGTGGATGTTCTGGTGGTGATACGGATAATTATTAATCGAAATGTCAAGTTCCAATTCCTGTTAGGTTCGTTATATTCACGCAAATGCCATCACTTATTCTCCCTCCAGCTATGGGTTAATTTGTAAGACTTGTATCATTATCTCTCCAAAAATTCTTACAACCCCTTTTTTTCTGGCTTTAAATAAACCGCAAAGCGTTGATAAGACGTAAAAAAGAACTCTGTCGAAATTAACCCTTCTTGGCCAGCATTCCTAGTACATCCCCGCACTTCCTGATAGATAGATAGATAGATAGATAGATAGATAGATAGTGTTGTAGCATACCTACGGACGATAATCGGTATCTCCCCATTGGCATAAATATAGTAGTAAATACTGTATGTTGGTCTGCAGTTGGAGATTCGTCTCCAGCTGTGCCTGTCAAACTCTATACCTCTGGGCAGAGAGGATCCTCAGACGACGCTTTGTCGAAGGGCAGAGTCTCGTCTCGGAAAACAGCTACCAGACCCTGTTTTATACAGGTTCTATGGAGAATTTTTGGCCGAGCCTATGGGCTCGGATGCCCCACATTAAATTCGGCCTTGTGCCACATCTGACTGTGTGGGGCGGTTGGTCGATATCCTGCAGTTGGAGATTCATTGTGGAATTCACATGACTCCCTTCTAGCAGTTGACTACTTCTACGCGCCGCTGGCGAATCTTATATGAGTTGTTCGTATCCTAAGTATTATCGTTCATTGCCAACCTTCGTGTGATTATCCTATTCAGCAACCTTCGCAAGGTTCAAACAGATAGATAGATAGATAGATAGATAGATAGATAGATAGATAGATAGATAGATAGATAGATAGTGGGGAGAGATAGATAGATAGATAGATAGATAGATAGATAGATAGATAGATAGATAGATGATAGATATATGTAAACATAGATAGATAGGTAAATAGATAGATAAACAAACAAAAAGACAGAATACTTGTTCACTAGATAGATTTAGCAGATTACAAATTCCTTTGTCAAATCTGATTTGTTTCATCCTGTCATGTCCATGGTTGGGACATATCCTTTAGAGAAATAATATTTGGATTAAAAATCAACGTTTTCCACCGAAGGAAATGTCGCAAAAGCTTCTAACAATGCAATCTCCTTTCTTAAACGGCCATCGAATTCTTTCATAAATGATGGCGCACCTCGCCTTATTAAAGCCGAAGCTATTGTTTCAAGCGGAATAAACAGCAATAATGCATGTGCGGAAGGTGAATGAACAAGACACCTTCACTTAGGCCGTATTTTTGGAAAACATTACTGTACACATATGTGCTATTGATGGAATTACATATACATATATATATATATATATATATATATATATATATATATATATATATATATATATATATATATATGAATGATTTATTATCATCCGCATCCACTTATCGGCCTTCAGATTCCAAGGACAAAACACCATGTCACCTGTCCATTACGGTAAGTCGGAGAAACACAGTTCATCGCTTGAAAGGGTGCGGTATGTTCGAAATTTCAGAACATTCACAATTGACTGCGTTAAGACATTGTGTTGCAGTTTACGGTACCTTCATGATAATTGTTCTGATGAACTTTCCTCTATTACACCTAAACTAAATACAGTACTAGATTGGCGCGTAGGTCTCATCAATTTACAGTTTAAATGGCTATATATAGCCGTAAGTTCTATGCTAAAAGTTTCTTCTATCACAATTCTCCTTTGTGGAACTCTCTTCCAGCCCCATGCTTTCCTGTCAACTTCGATTTTAAAAGATTTAATTGCATTGTCTATCGTTATCTACTGTTTACTTAATTCTTGTACTTTTAAAGTTCTCTCTCCTTAAGAGTCTTTTTTTTTTCTCATATTCTCTAACACTCAGTAACCGCTTGCGACTTAGTGGCTTTACTGCCTTGATTGGGATGAAATGATTAAGAGAAAGTGACTATGGAGAATTTTTTTAAAGGTTTACAGCCACGAATCATCCCGATCGAAACTTCAGTCGTAACAAAACGACCGAGTGTCGCGAATTCGGGGCACGGACTTTGAATTATCGCGAAACGAACGGTCAGATTTCAGTAGCAGACTTAGGAACTTTTTTGGGGGGCAGCAGATTGACACCACCGTATACTTGTCAACTATCTTCCGTCGCTGCCCCCACCCCCAAGCATGCTAACAACAGCCGATCTTCTTTACAATATTCTATAGTCTGTTGGCCATAACACTAATATCACGCGGGGAGGAGGGGGCTTATTTCAATGAAGTACTTCTCAAAAGCAGAGACATGGGAGGTTCTCTGGCTTTTTTGCGTTCTCCTGAGAGGTCGTAACCATCATCGCCTGAAAGATCATCATCATCGAATGGCTATCGTCGTCATCATTTGCCAAAGGTATGCAGATGTCATATTCACTTGATAATGGCGCTGTTCCTTCGTCATCTGTTGATTCCCTCAAGTAAGAAAGGGGTCGGAGGTCATTCTCATTCTATGGGACACCGTCAACTAAGATCAATTGGAGACTTAAATTTTGGGATAACCACTCATGTTTTATCCAGTTATACACCAGTTTTGCAAATTTCACATTCGGATGGCGTCCTCTTTGTTATAACTTTCGTACCCAGGCACGGTTATGTTCGATTGATCTGTTTGCAACGGATTATCAACCTTTTGCAGGTTATTTAAAGCCAGAATTTTTTTTTATTAAATTGTAATAATTTCTTTTCTTATATAATCGTGATGTAGCGATGCAAGTCTTACTAATTAACCCATAGCGGGGGAAGATAAGAAGCGGATATATAGCTTCCCCCAGGGAATTTACTGGGGTCACTGCCAAAATAAATCTTAGATCTTGGTTTCTGAAACTCATTACACGATTTAAACTTCTGGTATTTCTTGGCGTGAAGCGTATTCTCCGGGTACCAGGTAAATAAGTTGTTTTTTTGTTTTTTTGTTTTTAGAAAGATCTAAAATCATGAAATGATTACTTTTTTCTTAAATAATCAAATCATATCGCTTCAGTTATTGTAGATTTTTCGTTCAATAATTCGCAGATTTTTAATATTTATTTTATGGACGTTTCTCTGCGAAAAATTATTTCAGACATTTCTTTATCTGATGAGAATCGATTTTATTGAATCGATTTTGAGGAATCGTTATTGTTGAACAAAAAACAACCCTTTATTCTTTAACGCGACCCATTCGGTCATCATAAAATATTAAGTGGATTGGGGAAAAAGAAAACACAATTTTGACGATGAATAATCTTTATTTCATTCGCAAAAAGGTGTGTCAGTTTCTGTTACTCTATAGAAGCCTCCTGAAAATGAGGAAAGATTCACACAATGAAAACAAAATAAAAAACAGAAGTACTGACACATTCTCTCCTCGACAAACACTTCTTTAATATCTGTCTACATATCTGAGATGAGGTATTATGATTACTTGCATTATTTACATTATTCGGACTGTTATCCTCATCTTCATTGCCGTATTCACAACGTTTCAGCTTGTGTATCTTTGAGATGAAGTATTATGATTACTTGCATTATTTACATTATTCGGACTGTTATCCTCATCTTCATTGCTATATTCACAACGTTTCAGCCTCTATATCTCTGAGATGAGGTATTATGATTACTTGCATTATTTACATTATTCGGACTGTTATCCTCATCTTCATTGCCATATTCACAATATTTCGGCCTCTATATCTCTGAGATGAGGTATTATGATTACTTGCATTATTTACATTATTCGAACTGTTATCCTCATCTTCATTGCTATATTCACAACGTTTCGGCCTCTATATCTCTGAGATGAGGTATTATGATTACTTGCATTATTTACATTATTCGGACTGTTATCCTCATCTTCATTGCTATATTCACAACGTTTCGGCCTCTATATCTCTGAGATGAGGTATTATGATTACTTGCATTATTTACATTATTCGACTGTTATCCTCATCTTCATTGCCATATTCACAACGTTTCGGCCTCTATATCTCTGAGATGAAGTATTATGATTACTTGCATTATTTACATTATTCGACTGTTATCCCCATCTTCATTGCTATATTCACAACGTTTCGGCCTCTATATCTCTGAGATGAGGTATTATGATTACTTGCATTATTTACATTATTCGGACTGTTATCCTCATCTTCATTGCTATATTCACAACGTTTCGGCCTCTATATTCTGAGATGAGGTATGATTTATTTGCATTATTTACATTATTCGGACTGTTATCCTCATCTTCATTGCTATATTCCCTCTATATCTCTGAGATGAGGTATTATGATTACTTGCATTATTTACATTATTCACACTGATATCCTCATCTTCATTGACATATTCACAACGTTTTGTTTAGATCCAGTGACTAGACCCAAAGTGTTGTGAATTAAATACCATACCACAGCAGTGGTGAACCAAACCTTGTGTTAAAGGGAAATAACTGAGACATCCGGAAGAGGCATGGTACGTGAAATTAGAACAATCTACCCCGGTAGACGAAATAAAGGATTCGGTTCAAAATTCCAATCACCTGCGTACAACGGCCGAAACGTTGTGAATATGGCAATGAAGACGTTGATATTAGTCCGAATATTGTAAATAATTAATCATAATACCTCATTTCAGAGATATAGAGGCCGAAACGTTGTGAATATGGCAATGAAGATGGGGATATCAGTCTGAATATTGTAAATAAGGCAAGTAAACACTTCTTTCTAATTATACAGACGAATATAAAACACATATATATATCGTGGAACATTCATTGTTTTCTGTAATTTAATTCAAAAAGAAACTTTCATGTATCATAGATTAATTAATCATAAATTCTTTACTCATTTCCCCATTTCCCAAGGCAAAAAAGCCACTAAGACTCAAAGGATTACTGAGTATTAAAGAATATAAGAAAAAAATCTATTAAGAAGAGTGAACATTAAATAAACTAGCATTAAAAAGACACTGA